CCTTCCCTCCCATACGCTCCTGCCCTCTGAGCTGTCTCCCTGTGCATACACAGCCCTTCTATTCTCCCATGATTGATATCTCCAAGGAGTGTATCTACCTAATGTAAATGTTCAGCTCATATGCCTGTCTCTTATTTGGCTGGAAGACATAGGAGTGGGTTCAATTCTAGACCTGAAGGGCAGCTAGAGGCCATAGTCTCAGGCATTTCACCTACAAACCTTGTCTTTTTTTTTTTTAAATGATTTTTAGTTTTGTTCCAGATTGTTCTCCCACTCTATCCAGGATCTCCTACATAGATGACCCTCCGAGTGGCTGACAGTGGTAGGCAGGCACCATCTATTCTTCTCATCTCATATATGCTGAGGATCGCATGGTGTACCAGTCCCTTGGAAACTGTTTCTATGCATCTTTGGTTTTCTTCATTATTTGCTCTGGATGAGGAGAGACCCACTGCTGCATCTAGACAGCTGCTTGCAAGCTTCTAAGATCCCAGTTGCTACTTGCCAAAGTAGGATGTGATACAATGTTTTGTGTACTATGTTATGCCAATTGATCTTCATGTCCCCTGCAACTGTGGTCCCGAGCCCACAAGTCTAACTACTCACACTCCCTCTGGATGGCTGGCTGTGGCCAAGAAGTGACGGCAACCTTGTCCCTTGTTAGCTCTACTATATACCCACACATTCTTACAGAACATACAAATACACTTGTAGAAATATTGTCTGCCAACCCTATATATGGTTCATGGGCACAATCCCCCTTGCATAGACACACCTGATCATTCAGCTGGTCCACCCATCTATCCACCTGTAGATCAAAGTTTGCCATCACTTATAATGCAGTACTGTATGTGCAAAAGGGTTCATCTTTGTCTGTACCTCCTACACACCCTTCTATGTCTTCTTCCTCAATGTCATTGTGTTTATTACTCACAGTTGGTACAGTGGCTTTCCCTTCACCCAAATAAATACTTGTATCTAGCTATCTAGCAATGTTCCCTCCCCTCCCCTCCCACCCCTGGTAACCAACAAAGAAAATTTCCTTCCATATATAGTTTTATATTCCTTGACTTTTTAATAATAATGGACTAATACAATATTTGTCCTACTATGATTGACATCTTTCACTCAGCATAATGACTTCCAAATTCATCCATGTTATGCAGTGTTTTGCAGATTCTATGTTATTCTTTAGTGTTTCATAGTATTCCATTGTGTGTATGTACCATAATTTGCTTATCCATTCTTCTGCTAATGGGCACCTAGGTTGTTTCCATGTTTTTGTTATTGTAAATAGGGCTGCGATGAACATGGGTGTGCATATATCTGTTCTTGCCCTGGCTCTAACTTCTTTAGGATATATACCTAGTAATGGATCAAATGGTATTCCTAATTCCAACTTTTTAAGGAATCATTATACTGCTTTCCAGAGTGGTTGTATCATTTTACAGTTTGATGAGTGGTGTATGAGATTCCGAATCTCTCCACATCCTTGTCAGCATCTGTTATCTCATTGTCATTTTGATTTGCATCTCTCTAAT